CTAGTAGGAACAAGAAGCTATTTGGAAACAAGAAATAATAAATAGAATCGGTGGTCAGACCTTCGGTCGCATTCGTGAGCGACCGCATTCTTCGCTTTCCTCATCGACGTTCGAAGCCTCACATCGACGCGGGTGGCGGTCCGAAAAGAGCTAGAACGAGGATGTGTGTGTTCCTGGACAGAATGAATAGCAAAAAGGTCGAAGGACTGTGAGCCAGTTGAGTGTCAGCTTTTGGTGGAAGCAGAAACTGAAACCTGGGAACTTCTATTTTCCTCTGCAGCCAGCGCGGTTTCCACTTCCATGTTAGTGAGTCGGAGTGTAATTACATCTCATCAAAGTATGTCATCAAGATATTGAGGCACAAAATAGAAAGAATGCTACTAGTAACAAGCGCATCGCTACTAGTAACAAGGGCATCACTAGTAGTAGCAGGAAGCTACTAGTAGCTCCTGGCATTACTACTAGGAATAAGAAGCTACAAGGAACAAGGGCATCGCTACATATCGCTACTAGTAGCTTCATGAGGAGTGTATGTTCCCTAGGAGCCAGGAATAATATACTGAAATGCATCGCTACCAGTGCTACCAGTAGTAAGGCCAGGAGCTACTAGTAGCGATGCCCTTCCTAGTAGCTTCTTTTTCCTATATATACAACACAGGAGGCTCCGAATTTCTGCTGATTTGGCAGGACACATCCATACAGGTTTATTTGAAGAGACTGACCTGCGCAATAGAGGACGAAGAGACGGTAGATAGCATTGTGGTGCAATGCCCCTTTTCTCGGCCACCCCACCATGTCCATCGCTCGCACCTTGAGAAGTCGACGCAGGGACCAGTTCACCTGGTGTCTAATCGTTACTGTATAGAGACTACTTGTTGAGCAGTTGAATCCAATTTTCTGAACGACCTGTCGCAGCTTCGATTCATTCACTTTCTGGGTATTAGGCCTGAATAGAAGATCATCGGGGTGTACCGACCGCCAACATCCTGCAGACACATGACCAAGGTTGACGTCTGATTGCACCCACTTCATCGACTTGCCCAACTTCGCTTTGGCCGTGGGGATCTTGGGTTGTGCCTGGTTGCGGATTTGCACCAAAGTCTTGAGGCTTGAAGCGTTTCGTCACATGTTCGCCAAGGTTGAAAAGACCCAAGTGGTGAAGCTTTCCCCCTGTGTCGTTGATTAGATGGCTCACAACAGTGTTCGTAGATCGCACCAAGATTTGGTTAGGATTTGAGCGAAAGTCACGGCACTCCCCTCAAAGCTACTTGCTGATACTTCCCACTCGCGAGGTTGCAAAATCACCAGGTTTTGGTCATTTCTCCTGTACCTCTAAGGAGCTTAGTCAGCCAACTTGGTCACCCGGGGGTGTCCCCAGCAAAAGATCTCAACTTTTAACAAACATAATCGATACTTCAGGATACTTTTAACATGGAGGCCATCGCCCTTAGGTTGGAGGCCATTGCATTGCATGTATAAACATGACACGTTCTGTCTTCGGTGTTCTCAAGTTTCCACCGGTTTCGGGCAGAGCTCTCCTTTTTCGGATGTTAACTGTGTTTTTTGTTGATGTGTCGCCTGACAAACCAGCTTGAAAGCAAAACGGCATTCCTAGATGGCTTCATGTGGCAAAAAAAATCAACAAAAGCTCCGCGTCCGACACTGGCAACACCTGGCAACGGAACACATTTGCTTTACAGTTTCGTGTTGGTTGGATGATGTTGGATGTCCAAAAACTCGAGAAGCCAACGGATGATCTTGGATGACAGCTTGCGTCCCCAGGCGCGGCGCATCAGCCGCCGGCGTGGCGGCCCAGATCAGATGCGTCGGAGCCTGGAGGCGTTGTCGTGAAGTCGGGAGCTTCCCAGCTGGGCTGGAGTGCCATGCGTGGGGGATACTACGCCATCGGACGGGTGTTTCTTTCAGGGGGCCAAGAAAAGACCATTGATCCCAACAGTATCATACCGGCTCTTCACCTTCTTTGATTGACCATCCCGGATTCTGTGACCCAAATTGGGAATCGTGCGTTTGAGGGTTGCAGCTCTTTGGCATACTTGACCATGTCAAACTTAGATACCTTAAGTCCTTCTCAGAACTGGAAGGCTAGAACACTCATGGCAATCCACAAATCCACCAGGATTTATCTCCACTCGCTTTCTCCCGTGCGCCTAGAAGGAAACACAGACCCAGAGATGGTTCACACAGCCATGGTCCGAACGCCCATCTCAGAGGTTGGCATGGCTGCGGTTTGCCCAAGTCTTGCTGCTCTTGGGCCTCTACCATTGGGTTCGGAGGGCCCAGTCGAAGCAACTCTGAGGGCCCAGTCGAGCTGGCAAAGTGGGGTGGACAGGTTGGGAACAAGGTGTGGCCAAGCCAGCTCTCTCAGACCCGTCAGTCCCGTTCGTAGCGTTCTTGCTCCTAGTAGCGATGCCAGGAGCTTAGTAGCTTCTTGTTCCTAGTAGTATGGCCAGGAGCCCCTAGTAGCGAATCCCTGGCGTTGGTTGAGTTTCCTGCTTTCTGATCATTAGAGACGGTGATCTTGGAGATCGATTTCTTGGTCATCTTCGGATGCCATCTTTGTTTCGTGTGAACGTTTTGGCACCCAACAAAACAACCATCAGCTTCACCCAACAAACATGAACAGAACGGATTGCTTCTACCACTGTTGGACTGATGCATAGTTGACTCAAAAAACATCACCGCGGATCTTGAGTGTTCACCAGTTCCATGGCTTTTCACCACTGATTCCCAAAGGTAGTACATGTAGTGCCGAGCTCCAAAGGCCCACAGCCCACCACATCACAAACAGCCACTGCGCACTCGGCGACGGAGGTCTTCTGGAACAAGTCGGACGTGCCCTTTGGCGCCGCCTTGCATTCGATCCGGTGGACGCTCGGGAAGGAATGACAGTGGTATGTTCTGGTAGCTTCTTGTTGCTAGTAGTAAATTAGCTACTACTCGCGATGCACTTGTTACTAGTAGCGATGGTTACTAGTAGCTTCTTGTTACTAGTAAGAATGCTCCTAGTAGCCCTAGTAGCGATGGCCTCCAACCTAGTAGCTTCTTCGGAGTAAAGACAGATTGCAGAAAAGGGGTGCATGAAATCACCCCGTAGAGCACGGAATAGCGAATGCCCGGGCCTGATTGACACCTGGTGAGTCAGGTGAATAACTACCGCACAGTAGGCTTTGGCATTGACAGGCTTTCAACATTCTTCTGGCATCTTCGGGCTCGGATCTTCCGGAATGCTTGATTTCTGGTGATCCTGGCGTCCGATGACATGCGGCTGAGGATTTATGTCACCTCCATCGTCTACTACTTGATGAGGCACGGTTCAAACGCTGCTAACCAGCGATTCCGAGTGTCTCCGAGTGTCCGAGTTCAAGAGCACGTCAGCTATAGGGTCAACCCAATCAATTTTCAGCACTGCATGGTCCCTTTGTGTTGGCCATTTCGAGATCCTATTTCGAGATTACTTACTGAATCAGTCGAAACGACTGAATGCCGTGTGGATGACTGCCCGGGTTTTGGGTTTCCCACGATGTGTGTGGTGGGGTTGAGCTCAAGACTGATATGATGGCTGGAGTTCTCCCCAATGTGATGTGGCTATGCATGGCTATGCTGCAATGCTCATAATCAGTCCCTCATAGTTCTGGCCAATGAAGATTTCCAAATAGACAAACAGATAATGGGTCGGTTTCGTTCATCCTGGGAAAGTCAGCATGGTACCTAGCAGGGGCGCGCGTTCATCCTTGGCCAATTCTTCAGCCGCTTTAACCTCCACAAAAGAACGGACTACGGACTAGTGACTATAGTCTGATTCTCATCACTCATGGTTCGCTTTCTTCGCATAATTTCTTCGGCATGGCAGGTACTCCTTGCCCATCCGCAGGGTGGGGAGCGACTTGCACACTGCATCCTTGGATGGGAACCTGGATTTGGTCAAGCGCCTCGGCTTTCTTTTTTCGAGGAGTTTGGGAAGTGGAGCTTGGGCGGGGAAGAGGAGCGGGAGTGGTTCTCGAGGAATGTCGAGGAACACCGGAAGCCCAATCAGATCAATCAGATATGCCTTGAGAATCCATATGCAAAACATTCTGCCAGCGCAGGGTTCGCTTGGTGCCGTATTCACAGACTTGAACGTCCCCTCCGGCAGAGTCCGAGTCGAGAGATCTCCATGGAAAGCAGTGCCACGACTCTCGCTCCAGGGCGCTTCTGAAGCCTGACCAGAATGGACAGGCGCTGTGGGAATCTGTGGGACATGGACTATCGGTTGGGGAAACATGAGGGAGATATCCTGCATCGCTTAATTATGATACCCTGGCTACTAGTAGCTTCTTCTTACTAGTTAGTACCTCCGACCTACTTGCGATGGCCTCCACTTAGTAGCATCCTTGCTACTGGTAGCTGGAGATATCCTGCAGAAGTCTTCTTTTGGTAGGGATTTCGGAAAACCCTACAATTCCAGGTGGTGCACTTCTCAGCACTTCTTTCATCACGGTCGTCGTTTCACACAGTGCATCGCTAACAAGGACGCTATTAGGTTGGAGGCCATCGCTACTAGTAGCAAGGATGCTACTAGTTTGACCATAATTTTCCTGAATCTCCACCCAGTTCCCGGGAAGCTCAGCTCTAACTCCTAGTAGCGTCCTTGCTCCTAGTAGTAAGGCCAGGAGCCCCTAATAGCGTCCCTTGCTCCTAGTAACCTAGTAGCGATGCCAGGAGCCCCTAGTAGCGTCCTTGCTCCTAGTAGCAATGCCCTAGCTCCGTTGTCCGACGGCTTTGCATGCCCCAGAGCATGACATGTAGGTGCTGGACATCAACGCTGCATCCAAAGATGGGCAGAGCATGACGTGGGGGGTCTCGGATTCGGGGGCCAAGGATGACTACATGAAAAGGTGAGAGATGGTGAATGAACTGCGCAGTACCCATTCCAAAATATCCCAAAGATCCACACACTATATTGCTAAACGATCGGATGAGTGGACGATGGGCGAAGCCGCCAGACTTTGAACATCCGATGAGATCGTGTGCTCAGCGGAGAGTCCAAAGGTCGACCAGCGGTTGGACCAGCGGTTTTTCTTGACGAAGCGACGCGGATGGGTGCTGTGTGTGCGAATGAGTTCTGCCGATGAGTTCCGCGGATCGTCGTAGACTTGAACTTCCGCTTTTCGAGAACTTCAAGATTGTTGTGATTCATGGAGGATTCATGGTCAGGCATCATGGTCAGAACGCGTTACATAGACGCTTTACTTGGTTTCCAACAGGTTTCTACTCAGGCTGGCGTGTGGCAAACCGCGAGTCCTTTCCGTACACCATTTCCTGAGCGTGTGTCTGAAGTCCTTTTAGGCTCAGGACATCAGCCCACAGATCTGGCCTGAAATCGCATAGAGCGGGTGGTGTCCATCGGCTGGTGTCATGGTGACAGCGGACTTGCCCAGCAAATTGCGATGCACCAAGATGTGCAAGTGCCTTGGCTTGGTGGGCACAGAGCAGAAAGGAACCCTTACGTAGCGCCTTTTTTCCGGTGTTGAAGGGGTGGATGTCATGCCAGTGTGGAAAAAATGGGAAGCTTGAAGGGGAGTCGGAAGAAGGGGTAGCTGAATCATCCTCCATGGCATGCGGCTCTTCTTCACTATCTATATAGGCGTTGGAATCGCTATGACCACAGATAGTGGCCTGAATGGCGAAGGCAACAGTTTCCTTGGGATCTGAACATCCATATGCTGGAGATCCAAACCAAAGAGTCCAAGGATGGAGTGGGAATGAATCCACACCAAACCTTCGCTTCGGCGAGGTCTCCAAGGTCTCCAAGGTCCAAACCCGTCCAAGGTCTCCAAGCTCCTCCCGACGTTTTTCTAGTAGGGTGGAGGCCATTACTATAACGAGAAGCTAGTAATTAGTAGCATCCACCTTACATCTTGGTCTCCTTGTTCTCGCAACCTCGAAGACGAAGACCTTGTAGCTTCTTGTTACTATTAGCGATGGCCTCCACCCTAGTAGAGAAGACCTAGGTTTTGGATCTACCAGCGATGCACCATGGGTGACTTGGCAAGTAGGACCGACGTGGGACTTGTGACGCCGGGGGGGCAGTCAGGGGGTTCAGTCCGGGGCAGTTGTGGTTTAGGACCGCAGACGAGACTCTTTGTAGTTATGTTTTTTTGGATTCTGGCTTTGATATTTTTAATATAACCTTTGTGAAAGCGAGCTCTTGGCAAGGCATGTTTCAAGGTTGATCACACCCCGCCGCCATTTGCACAGATCTTGACCCATTTGTTTTACGACCTTTCGTGGTCCGGCAAAAGCCCTCGCGTTGCGTCGATTGCGTGCGCCATCGTCGCTCACAGTGGCACCGGAGCCTTTTGTTTGGGCCTTGCTGGCGAGCCTGCTCCCGCTGCCGCGCTGCGTCGCTTGGCCGTTGGTTTGTTTCCTTTGCTTGAGGAGCCCTTTGTCCTAGCCTTCGTTGTCGGTGATCCTTGCGGCTCAGGCCTCAACGATTCCGGACAGAGTGAATAAGCTCCTGGAGAACTCAAAAGACCTCGCGTGGTCAAGCTAGTGTGCCTCGCATCCCAAGGATCCTGAGGTCATCTGACCATGGCGGAGGAGGACAAGAATGCCGGAGCATGGAGTCGGGTCCCGATATGGGACGGAGATCCAAAGACATGGCGGGCCTTCTCCTGCGAGATGACTTGGTGGATGGAGGCGCTGGACGTGCAGAGCACAAAGAAGTACAACCTAGCTGCTCGTTGGCTGTTGCGCCAATCAGGCATTGTGCGCCAGCGTGGTGAGGAGTTCTCGCCAGCTGAACTGGCCGTTCAACCGGCCGTGACTGCCAAGGACCCCGAGACCGATGAGGACGTGATCATCACGCCTGAGGATCCCTTGGCTGGCTTGAGCAAGTTGTTGAAGGCTCTTGAGAGTATCAATGGAAAGACCCAGCTGGACAAGCGCGGTGACCTCCGGAACACCTTCTACCTGGAGCTGAAGCGCAAGCCTGGTGAGAGGATCAGGGAGTTCTGCACTCGCTTCAGGTCCGCAGTTGCAGAGCTGCGAATGGAGGGCGTGACATTGCCCAGCGCAGAGCTTGGTTGGTTTCTGAAGCAAAAGTTGGGCCTTGATGCATTGCGTCAACAGCTGTTGGAAACAGCGCTGCAGGGCAAGGAGTCCTACGAGGACACGGAGGTCGAGGTGCTTCGTTTGTTTCGAGACCTTCATGCCTCTGACCCCTTGGCGAAGAAGTCATTTGGTGACCACCACCCGCCGAGAGCGCCCTTGATGCAGCGTTTCCTAGCTCAACAGAGGACACCGTCTTCAAGAGCGCCATCATCCTCAGCCCCTTCAGTGTCTTCGTTTGCTTCTGGTCGTTCGAGTTCGACCTATGCCTCAAGCAAGCCCTTTCAGCGGAAGCCCATGAGTTCTGGCCGACAGGCCTTCGTGGCAGAGCATCCTGATGAAGAAGAGCTCATTGCCGATGAGCCAGAGGTGGAGGAAGCTGATCCTCCAAACTTGGAGGAGGTCTTGCAGGCCGAGGCTGAGATCTTGGCGACGGAGATTGAAGAAGCTGTTGAAGAAGGCGTTGAGTCCGCCTTGTTGCAAGATGTCGAAGAGACCGTGGAGTCAGCGCCTGAAGCATTGCTGACGATGAGAGAAGCACGACAGAATTTGGCCGAAGTCAAGAAGGACCGCGGCTATGGCAAAGCTGGAGCATCAACGACAGATGCAAAGTCCAAAGTTGGTGCCAAGAAGGCTTCAAGAAAGCACCCCTGCATTTGACTTCGGTCAGCCTGGACATTGGGCTGGCGATCCGGAGTGCAGCAAGCCTGGAGCGGGCCTTGGGAGGAAAAGTCCGCCAAAGAAGACGAAGGCCGTCAAGGTCGTCGAGACCCTCAACACCGAGCATGTGGTTGACCATGAACCTCCCTTTGAAGTTGAGCCCCATGAAGCTTTTGCTGTCACATGTGTTTCTCGCCGCAACCGGTCGCGTGGTGATGTTTTGTAATCTCCACCAACCCCTGCGCTAGAAGTTCATGCAGTTGGCAATTTGTCATGTGACAAGCGGTTGGTGGGAGCTTTGGATAGTGCTTGCAATAGGACGGTGACCGGCCCTCAATGGTTGATTAGCTACTTGGAAGCCCTTCGTGAAGCCCCAGGTGAAATTTGGTCATTGGTGGATAGCATGCCCGAGCGTGAAGTTTTCCGGTTCGGTGACGGAAGCACTCAGGTGAGCGCCGAGGTGGCGACTACCCATGGTCATCGGGAACACCCTCATGGTCTTCTGGACTTCAGTGGTTCCTGTACCTTCATTGGGCCTTCTCCTTGGCCGGGACTTCTTGGAATCGGTGGGCGACCATGAGTTTCTCCAAGAGGGTGATAAAGTTCGACTTCCTTGGAACGGCCGCCATCCCGCTCAGCAAGCAGCTCGCCGCAGGTCATTTCCTGCTGCAGCTCATTCCACGGCAGTGGCCAGGTGTGGGCTCTCAGAAGTGGCGCAAGCTTGGAACTGACAGTGTCATTGAGTTGCAAGTCACTTTGAGGGATTGGTTGACTAGACGCATCAAAGCCACCGACCCTGTTTTTGGGGATTTGGTGCATGAGCAATTGTTGTCTGAGCGTGGCCTGCAAGCTGGTGTGAGTGTGATTGAGCCTTGAACGAAGAGAAGCCGCTGCTAGCATGATGGTTCAAGCCGGACCTGTTGCAGCGACCTCAACTTCTTCGACGACCCCGACTTCGAGCTCTACAGCCCCGAACGAGTGTCTTTCAGCTGACGGCCATGTTCGGAATGGACACCTTCTTCAAGAAGCCCGAGCCGCTTCCACCAAAGGCGGCAACAGTGGCCACAAAGTGGATGCGCTTCGTTCAACGCTCCGTGGCACGCTTAAGCTGGCATTTGTGGGGGCTCTTCTTATGGCTTGTCAGGCGACCGTACCCGGCTATCAATTCGTTGGCGCGTTGGAAGCTTCAGGCCACCGAGATGGAGAAGCATCACTTGCTGCCATTGGGCACTTGTCAAAAGGCCGAGACCTTGGGGCATTTCAGCATGGGCAACATGCAGGAGTGTATGTGGTTGAGGAAGCGCATGGGACTGCAAGCGGCATTCGTCGAGGGCCCCATTCTGATGGGCATGCTTGCAGCTCGCTCCTCGAAGGGCCTGCCAGCGCAGGTGAAGTCGGAAGCATTGAAGGATCAATGTCCCAATCGACTCCAAGATGACCGTGGCTCAGATCAAAGAGAAGGTGAAGCCGACTGTGGAGCTGCTCAAGAGCAAGCCGCCTTCCAAGCACAACAAGGCATCTTCCAGTTCGGCCCTGACCTATCCCGATCCGAGACCGTCCACGGCACCTTCGTTGACACCTCAGGCCAAAGCTCCACCTACAGGATTAGAGAAGTTTTCTCAGTCACCTCAAGTGGCAGAGATGGAACGGCAGTATCGTCAGAATCAAGCCCAGTTTCAGGACATGACGCAGCAGGTCGCTTCAGTTCTCGACACGTTGACTCGCCCGGGAGGACTACATCGGCTGCAGACCCAAGGCGAAATGCCAGAGAACTTCTCCCTGGCAGGAGCAGCCCCTATGCAGGTGGACAGCATCCTCAACGGAGAGGAGCGCCCGATGAGCGACTTCTCGGAGGCCGAACTTCGCCAGTTGGCGGGAGAATCCATGGAGAGCGTCTACCAGGAACGCCTGGAGGCCCAATACGGCGACCTGGACTTTGTCGACCTCGCGACGAAGGAGCAAGTGGAGGCCGCGCTGGACCCTTAGAGTTCTCCCTGCACCAAGAGTTGAAGAAGGGACAAGCCCAGCTCATTGCCGATGCCTTCGAGAAGCACCAAGCAGACTGCAGCAGAATCTCACT